TATATATATATATATATGATTTCAACAGGGAAAGTGCATCCTTTTGCGAACATCCACTCATGTGTACTCAGCTCTCGTATTGTTACTGTTAATATACACATTTTTTATATATTTTCTTAAAATTTTATTTTTGCAGTCTAGTTGATTAAACATTAATCTATGTAATATTTTACCTGGATAGTATCCTCCTTTTGGTGAGAAATTTGTTTTTCATACTTTTATTTATTTTATTTATTTATTAAGAAAAAGTGTATTTGTTAAAAACGTTTTCTGACAAGAAACGCAGATTATTCTGAACTTCTTAAATTTTAAAAGACATTCAATCCTCGCAACAACTTATTATTGGCTTCATGAACTTGACACCGTTACTCGATCGTCAACCATCGACCGGTTCTATTTGCGTGGTCAAATATGGCAGTTGACTCAGCATTTCAAGGCAGCCTACCTGCCTATAAAAACATTGGAAACGCGGCGCATTGCTCTCTTTTACTTTAGATTTAAAAATTCCCTGAAAGCCCCAATTCGAAAAAAAAAAAATGTCCTACACTACCCGATCCGTGATCAGCAGAAATGTTTGGGATGATGGATTCGATTTTCCTTCCCGGATCAGGGATCAGCATTTCGGACTCGGACTAACTGACCTCGACCTGGATGCCCCCTCATCTTTCTACCGAGGTTACTACCTGAGGCCCAGGAGACAACTTAGCAGCGGAGGATTGTCCGAGATTAAGGCCGAATCAGATAAATTTCAGGTAACCATTTGAAATAACTTTCTCTACAAATTAATCATAAATAAATAATTTTTGCTATTTCGTTTATAACAATATTTATAAAATTAAAATATTAATATTCTATTGTGTTTAGTTACAAAAATATCTTCATTCTAAGATTTGAGCTTTAACCTGATTTTTACTCAGAAATATGCAATAAAATATTTATTTTTTAAATTCAATTAATTGAACTTAATTAATTATTTTAGTTATTTATGAATTATTTGTTATTTTTTAATTATTAGTTATTTATTAATTATTTTAGTTATTATTGCTACCTAAAAATGATAGATTTGAATAGTTAGCTACTACGTTTGCATACTGTTAGAATATTTTTACTGTGTATTTCTTCATGTGTTGGTTTTGACACAAAATGAGCAAAGAATGATGAATTATATATATATATTGTATGTTTCTTATTTGGTATTTGTTTGTAGGATTGATTGGGTATTGGAGGCACGTTTTCCAAAAATAACATTGTTATTTACGTATAATTATTATGTTGGATTTAAAATGACGCTGCTAAATATGAAGTCTTGATTTATTGATTGCTCTATTTTTCCAGAGAAACAAATGTTTGCATAATTTCTACCTTTTTTTCACTTTTTGTTTTGAAAACATAAATGTAAAAGTCCTATAAAATGTTATGTAAAAGTCCTTTAAAAATAAAAGGTGTCGTGAAAAATTTGAAATTTTCCGCTTAAGATTTGGTTTAACTTTATTTAAGTAAAATAAATTGATAATAAAAAAATAAATAAATAAAATTTATGAATTTTAAGACACTAATAAGTATTGACTGTTAAAACAAAAACAAGTTTAATTATACTTTTTAAAATGATGTAAAAATTGCATACCGTACTATTTAAAATATTTTCGACGAATATTAAATAAAATAAAAAAAATTAAATATTTATTAAAAGTTTTTTTTTCCGTGGAACTATTTTTGAATAAATGAATTTTAGAATTATGTGAAAAAAGTTTTCAATTCGCCTAAAAAGTTTTCGATATATGGCGAAATACGCGAAAAGTATAGTTAACATTAAGGGTCCAAACTTTGTACCGCTCTCCCGACCAGATTGCGGCTACTACCCCCCCCCCNTATGTTGGATTTAAAATGACGCTGCTAAATATGAAGTCTTGATTTATTGATTGCTCTATTTTTCCAGAGAAACAAATGTTTGCATAATTTCTACCTTTTTTTCACTTTTTGTTTTGAAAACATAAATGTAAAAGTCCTATAAAATGTTATGTAAAAGTCCTTTAAAAATAAAAGGTGTCGTGAAAAATTTGAAATTTTCCGCTTAAGATTTGTTTTAACTTTATTAAAGTAAAATAAACTGATATTAAAAAAATAAAAAAATAAAATTTATGAATTTTAAGACACTAATACGACTGTTTAAACAAAAACAAGTTTAATTATACTTGTTTTTATAAATTTTTATAATATACAATTCAAAATATTTTCGACTAATATTAAATAAAATAAAAAAAATTAAATATTTATTAAAAGTTTTTTTTCCATAGAACTATTTTTGAATAAATGAATTTTACAATTATGTAAAAAAAGTTTTCAATTCGCCTAAAAAGTTTTCGATAGATGGCGAAATACGCAAAAAGTATAGTTAACATTAAGGGGTCCAAACTTTGTACCGCTCTCCCGACCAAACTAACGAGACCCTATATGCCAGATTGCGGTTACGACCCCCTATATTTTAGGTGTCAGAAATCCTAATCAGTCGGAAAAAGGTATGTTTATTCAGAAAAAGTGCGTTTTTGTGCTTTATTTCGTAATTTAAAATATCTTCTGCATTAATTAGCATATTTGAGGTCACCCTCTCAAACTATTAAGAATAAGTCCTAGAACGTAAAGATCCGATCACTAGATCAAAAGTTAATAAGGGTGGTCCGTTTTTTATTTTGCGAACTGTACAACAGCAGTTACCAATACTTAAAAAAAATTTTTTTGTAGAATTTTTGATCTCAGAAATGAGGTTTGAAATGATGTTAAAACAAAGAATTTTAAACAAAATATTTTCAATTATCAATATTAACGCATATTTTTATTTTTTACTTATAAGCTTATACAATTGTGACAACATTTATTAGATTTATTTTAACTTATTTCGTTCAAAGGTTGCTGTTTGCAATTGTCAAAGACATACCATAACTTCACAATCATGCTTTATAAATGAAAAATAAAATTTTCCTTAAAAGAAACAAACTGCTTGGTTATTTTTTTTAGAGTGGGAAGTTTATGTTTATTTAAAATACTAAATGCAGAAGTTTTGTTATCTATTTTAATTTTTCTAAAATTTAAAATCATAACTTTTTTGAGCAGTTTTGGATTTTGAACAGCGATTAATAATATCATGCGTTATTTTTCAATAGCTCAATAAAATTAAGTTTCGAAAACGTTCAGATGTTTTTGTTATAAGCAGGACTAGGGTGAACTAAAGATCCCGAAAAAAGTCAAATAAAATATGTAACAACCATCAAACATGACTATAAATAATTTCTAATACCCTTAAAAATTTTCACTCTTTACATGAGGTTTGATACATAAAATAATTATAAATCATTACTGGTATTCATAAATTTAATTGAAAAATAAGGTCATCATGCATTTGAAATAAATGTGTAATTAACGAATAAAATATATAAACAAACAAACTTATTAAATTTTAGTAAAAATCTTTAAAAACATCAGAATCGTATTGCATTCTCAAATGAAATTCTTCAAAAGTTTGTCCCAAACCAAATTTTTTTGTGCTTGAAAAACTAAGTGTAACATCAACATTTGTTATTTGATAAAATAAAAAATAATAATGAAAATAAATAGTTAGATTAATATAATACAAATCATAATATAAAATTAAATCATAATATATCATTCAAATTCATAATAAATGATTAAAAAGGGAAGAAAAAGTATAAAAAATGCAAAAAGGAATATAATTAAAGAAAAATATGACACTTTCAAAAAATGCATTTATTATCACGATAAGTTATAATTTAAATAATATTCATTCAAGTAATATTTTTGCTCACATAATTATTATAAATATTTGTCAAATAATTTTCATAAGATCAAATATAATTTTTTTTTATTCTATAGGACTTTTTGTCCTGTCGAAGTCGTGGACATTTTTTCGATTCTTTCAACATTGTCGTCGTCTCTATACTTCTGCAGTGTAGTACTCCTCTTTTGGGCAAGAAGTCTTATTTTTAAGAATTTAATTCTTTTTTAAAGCAGCTGCCCACCATCACTGAGTTATGAGTGGGTCAGCCTATCTCCGGGGGGGGTGGGGGGGCATGCCATTCCTACGCCCACGCATTTCAAAAGAGTAGGTTCCATATGGACATCATTTATCCCACCTCTCTCACAGATATTAAAAAAAAACGTATATTTTACTGTTTTTTTTTTAATCTGAAGAGACCTTCATAAATGGAACAAGTTGCATGGAACATATTTCACAATTTTTTCTTTTTAACGTAATTCATTAAATTTGTTTTTAGATCTATTTTTTTTTGAAATAGTGAATATTAACCCTATTGAGGAAGGATGACTTAATAAAAAATCCTACGTGTTTGCATTTTAATATTTTGAAAGCATTTTCCATCATTAACTGACTATTTCTGTTGTTCAAATGTAGAAGAAAAGATTATATATAGCGTCCTTTTATGTATAGAAAGCCTTTTACTAATATATTGTTTGAGAGACCAAATCTATTAGTAATATTTAAGATCGCTTAAACTTCATTTTTTGATGTCTTCGACGTAAGCTATTATTAAAGATGTTTATACGAGATTGTGCTAGAAAATGACGTGAAAGTATCGAAACAGGCTAAAAAATATCAACAAAGAAACAAGTGCAAACCGGTTTCAGCAGAATAAAAACAATAAAGCTGATAATTAAAATTTTATGTAGAATCTGATAGTGAGTCTAATAATTTGAACTGTAGTGACTGAATAAATGAAATCATACTTATTTTAGTTCAACATTCTCATGAATTTGAAAGATTTGTCAATCCTATGCCATGAAGAGTAAATTAGTTTATTGAAAAAACAATTATTTTAAGTTATTCAATCTTTCAATCTTTCTTAATTATTAATATCTTTTAACTATATATTTAATAAGTTTTAGAAGCGCTGGAATTTTAATAAAAATAGAATACTAACAATTATGGGTAAAACTGAAAATATGTTTTTTAAACATCAAACTATTATATCGGGGCAAATGGAAAATTATAACTTAAACATTTTATGCGCCTTTTTGTCTGTTTATTATTATTTTTTTTAAAGTTTATTATGAAATATAATAATTTGCATGCCCCCCTTTTATGATTTCTTTGTAAAAAACTTTCATTATCAAGTAAATCAGACTGATCAAAAATTACACCCTAACGAATATATTTATTTATTGTATAATATAAAAATATTTTTGATTTAATAGGTCAAAAAAATTCAATGGGTTAAAATTAAATTTTAAAAAAATCATTCACTTTAAACAACTGTTTTTTTTTCTTAAATCACAGTTGATTTAAATCAATGATTGTTTTAAAAATATCAAATGATTAAAGACGCGATTTCAATAATGATTTAAATCACGCTAACTGTTTTAAAAAATATTAATCATCGTCCGCCCTATTACAAGGGTTGCTATTTATATTTCTGGCCTTGGCAACAGTAAGTGTTGCTAGGCGACCGCAGACGATTTTAATCGAAAGTTTGATATTTTTAAACATAAATTCAGCAGACGATTTACCATTATAGCTTCATTTGTGTTGTTGACAGTAAATTGAAAAGTTCTTCTCTTTCAAAAAATGGAATTGAATCGTGAACATTTTCGTGCCATTATTTTTCATAACTTTCGACGTGGATTGTCAAGACAAGAGTGCTTCGATGAACTTAATTCTTTATTCAGCGATAAAGCGCCATCCTACAGCACTGTAAAAAATTGGTATAACGAATTTAATCGTGGTCGATGTTCGATCCAGGACGAATCCCGTGCAGGTCGTCCAAAATCCGTTGTTGTGCCAGAAAAGATCGATGCTGTGCGTGAACTGATAAAGCAAGATCGTCATGTGACATACCGTGAGATAGAGGCGTCTTTGGACATTAGTATGACTAGCATCAATAAAATATTGCATGAACATTTGAGCGTAAAAAAAATTTGTTCGCGTTGGATCCCGCATAATCTGACAAACGCTCAAAAAAAGGCTCGTGTCGATTGGTGCAAGGAAATGTTGGAAAAATACGTTCAAGGTACATCAAAGGCTGTGTATAACATCTACACAGGTGACGAATCATGGATCTATGCATATGAGCCGGAAACAAAACAGCAATCAACTGTATGGGTCTTCCAAGACGAGGCAAAACCAACAAAAGTTGTTCGAGGAAGAAGCACATCGAAACAAATGATTGCCTGTTTCTTCGGCATTAACGGTCATGTGGCAACAGTGGCGTTAGAGCAACGCAGGACGGTCAATTCTGAATGGTACACGACCATTTGTTTGCCAGAAGTCATCGGAGAAATTCGAAAAAAGCAGAAGAACAGGAGAATCATTCTTCATCATGACAATGCGAGCTCTCACACATCGACTCAAACAAAGGCATTTCTGACGGAGCGAAAGATCGAACTGATGGGTCATCCGCCGTACAGCCCTGATTTGGCACCCAATGACTTCTTCTTATTCCCACACATCAAAAATAAATTACGTGGACAACGATTTTCGACCCCCGAAGAAGCGGTTGATGCATTCAAAACGCATGTTTTGGAGTTACCTCAATCGGACTGGAAAAAGTGCTTTGAAAATTGGTTCAAACGCATGCAAAAGTGTATTGATCATCATGGAGAATATTTTGAAAAACAATAAAACCAATTTCGATCCTACATGTTTGTTTTTTCATTATTAGGCCAGAAATATAAATAGCAACCCTCGTATGACACTAAAACTGTCTGAATTAGAATTGTAATTTTTCGACCTTTAGATGCGTATAGATAACCGGGGCAAACTTCTATTAATATTTATAGCAATTTTTTTATAACAATTAATATTTGGCTCGAAAATGAATGATTTCCAGCGAAATATTAATGGTATTTATTTTTTGCTTAAATTTTACGGATGGTATTTCTCTTTATTTAATAACCCCTAAAACTTCATATTTATAGTTAAATATATTTTAAAATCATGGTATATTCTCCATAAAATATTTTCTTGAGCCGAACATTTACCCGTTGAAAATAAATTTAAAATCATAATCAAGGTTTTTGCGTCATGAGACGTCAAATCAATGCTTTTCTAGACTTGAAGCTACTCTATGTACTCCCTCTGCTCTCCAAGAACTAAATAATTCGATAAATCAGTTTGTTCTTCATTTTTTTTTAAATCATAAAAAGAAGCACGGGGGCGTGATTTGCTCAGGGGATAGAGCATTCCAATGAGGTGAACTGGGAATTCCGCATCCGGCTTGCATCCACCACAGACGCAAAATATCCTCAGTGGTAGATGGATCATGGGTTAGAGTCCCCTTGCCATCAGACTAACCGTGGGAGGGTTTCCTCTCCGTGTAACTCAAATGCGGGTTTGTTCCAATAAAAAGTCCTCCACGAAGGCAAATTTTCCCCAATACTTGATCCAGGAGTTCCTTTGTCTTCTGGATTAGGTTCAAAATGCCAAGACTATGGAGTTGAACATTATTAATCGTAAATCCCAAAAATTGGGTCTGCTGTTCAACGACGGTTATTAAAAAAGGAAGCACGTATTCTTGTAGTAAAAATTTTCCACTTAAATATTATTATGTTATTATTAGGTTATCATTTCATTTCTCTGTTGATATTATTTTGATTAGATTGTATGAATGTTTGTTGATATTATCTAATGGAATGGTTGATTGCAGATTCTCTTTTAAACTGACACTTTGATTACAAAGTAAACAATAGGCTTTGTAATAAATTTATCTATCACTTGAGAAAAAAAGTCATTTTTCCAGAAAACAATTGAAAACAATAAAAAAAAAATCCCAATTTTTCGATAGTGGGAAGAAATTTACTGAAATGGCAGTATCATGATAGTTTAAAAGAATTAGACTTTCAAATCAACTTGTTCAAACTTATAATGACTCTAAATTTTCAATGAGTGATCTAGATCCACAGGTAGAACTTATTAGTGGGTATTAGTGCATAGAACGAGTAAAATCAACCGGCAAAGAGTATAATGAAGAATAACAAATGCTATCGAAATTTTACAAATCACTACTGAAGAATCACTATGATCGCTAAAAACTTGTTTAATTGCCGGAAGAAACTTGCTAGAGTTATGCTACTTATCGGCTATCGAGTCCTTTCTGTTTTTTTCCCGCAATCAAACAGGCTCTGATTTATCAGAAACACCTTCGTTAGTAGTGATTTACCCAGTTTGCGATATCACTTGTTTTTACTTAAATATTAGTTTGAAATCCTCTAATGACTTCGAGACAGGTGTTTGAAAGATGGTTGTTGTGAAATATTTCAAATGGAAAAGAAGATTTTGCATGGAAGTAAAACACAATGAACTCTATCTTACGAGTCAATAGTTAGATTGTTGCTTTGAATGGCTCGACCCAATGAACATATTTCTCGGTTTTAGTTGCTAACATCTGAAATAGACGCTAATAAACTTTGGTTTTTCTTTCATTCTTAATTTGGTTGATCACGCTTTATTCTTTTTTTGAAACATAGGACCCACATCTACAGTGTCAGAAGACGCCTTCTCCTGTCATTTTTTCTGCAGAAATTTCATGACAGGGTCAGTAGGTAAAATAATATATACTGTAATTATACACTTAGTAAATAAAATAGCATTCCTCATGAAACCTGAAAAATTTATTGTAAAACAAGTTTTTGATTGAAAGGTCAACAGACGATTCTAAGTGAAATTAGAACAATAGGAGAGAGGCAAAATATTTGACTACAAATAATAGAGTGACCTATGATAGAATGTGTAAATGAAATAGGGAACTTTTCACTCATCGCCCTTCTTCGTTACCATGATTACGGAAAACCTTACAACGGCACAGTACGTTTTAGTAAGAAGTGGGAATATACATGGGAAAAAATTGCGGATAATATGGTAATGGAGAGAGGAATAGTGTGACGCCTATTCTACTAAGGAAGTGTATAAAAGTTTTTATATTTTCTCTTTGGCGATCCCAAAACAATTACTAAACAGAAATATTACTTCTACTTAAGAGGACATCTCATGATAAATTCTATTTTACCTCCATTAGTAATTTAAAGAATAGGATTTCTAGTAAACCAAGAGTATAAAACATGAAGTTTCAAACGTAGAATATTTTTAAAATGTTAAAAAAATTAAGGCAGGATTACGCTATAGGGATGATTCTGCCTCAGCGCTTACTTCTCAATGATATGACCCAGATCCGAATCTCGATACGAATTTTACTCCTGGTTCGCACTGATTACAGTGCTGACATATATATTTTCAGTGTTATCATGTGGGGACCATGGGGTAGAATTCTCTTGCCATAGAGCTAACTGTTTCTCTCCATGTACAAAAATGTTAGCTTGTCTTCTGGGTTGGGTTCAAAATTACAAGACTTCGGAGTTACACATGATGGAGTTACAAAAATGCATTGGCTGTTAAACGCTGATTATGAAATAACTATCACTCGATACATGTCTATAAAATGCTGCGAGGACGAAACATTTTGCATCTATTAATAAGAATCTATTTTTTCTCTCCAGGTTCGCTTGGATGTAGGTCACTTTGCACCAGAAGACATTGTAGTAAAGACAGTCGACGACCAGGTCGTGGTCACCGCAAAACACGAGGAGAAAGTGGACGAGCATGGATTCATCTCTCGAGAATTTACTCGTCGATATGTCCTGCCAGAATCATCTGACCTGGACAAGGTCACTTCCACCCTCTCAGCGGATGGGATCCTCATTGTTGAAGCACCCCGGAAGAAACTCCAGCCTGCCCTGGGACACAACGAGAGAGCCGTACCCATTCAAGTCCAGTCTCCAGGCATCGCCACCTGCCCACCGAAAGTGACCACAACCACCAACATACCAGTGCAAAAAGAAACCTCCACTAAAGATAAATAAATGAATCTTTTATTATTTTAATTATTTCTGACTCCTTATCAATAAATTTATTTTAGTCATTACCTTGTAGGGTTTTCTCTTACATTTTGACTCGTACTGAGAATAAAACGAAAATATTGTACCAGCAATATTTTGACTACATGGTGGGCACAGGTGTCCGATCGCCCTTCTACTATTGGGTGGCAAGAAAGTAATTTCGGTGTGATGCACCTGAGCCATCACTACTCCCTTTGTTACTGTCGAGAGTTTCATTAAAATAGGCTCAGAAATGCTGTTTTATCGTAATTTAATGACTAGCTGAGCCTGTCCAGTGAGTCGCTAAATCATGAACTTACGATAAAACAGCCAATACTGTACCTATTTGAAAGCAGTTTTTGACATATTAGGAAAATAAATTAAGATAATTTAGATAAATAAAAGTACCTGATGTTCAAAGGCACACGATGTAACAGTTCATAATAAGAAAGCGCCTTTAGCGGAATGCGATAACATTTACGGGACATTCGTAAGTGATGCCTTCTCAGTTGAAGAATTCAGCTTAATGTTATATTTTTCTCTGCTACGCAAAAAACTGTAAGACTAAAAAGTCATGAAAGTATATATNATTTAGATAAATAAAAGTACCTGATGTTCAAAGGCACACGATGTAACAGTTCATAATAGGAAAGCGCCCTTAGCGGTATGCGATAACATTTACGGTTTCCTGAGTAATTCTTAATCCTCATGATGTGCCCTACTTCCGCTAGAAGTGTGTCGCAACATTTACGGGACAGGTGCTAGATCTTTATTTAGCTTTACTTATTCTATTGTGCCCATTCTAAGAACATCACACTCTCTGACTTGAAGTCTTGATGAACAGAAAAACAACTGTTTTAGAAAATTCTAGAGCTCCAAAAAAGGGATTATCAGAATGAGCAGAGAAAGAAACGAGGGAAATCTAAATTTCATCGAAAGTCTTTGCTTGAATTTCGGCCTGAAAGTGCAGTGATTGTCTAAAACAAGGTAAGGTGACCGTGTTGAAACAAAATTAAATTCCTTTATTTTATCGTATTCGTATGCAACCGTAATAGGATTTATCTTAGACATAATAAATGTTCTGTTGTGCCATTGAAGTCTTACGAAAGTCCTGAGGTTGGGCAAATCCAAGAGCCAAGTTCTCAAACTATCGAAGATATATCTCATGTTTCACATATTCCGAATGCATGATCTTCTTTTTTTAGATACTAGTTCCAACAAAGGATCAGTGGATCATAAACTGTCACTTAATGAGACGCGGTAGGGAAGAACTGTGATTTAACAATAATATTTTGATAACTCTGCTTGGTTTTTTCTCTCCTTAGGATCGTGTTGCATAGATAAAAAAAGGTCTATCTTTGTACTCCTGACGTAGCGATCTGAATAAATGCGTTTGTTTGTGAACTCTCTTCAGCCGAGGCAGAATAATACCTCGCGTACAGTCCATAAAAAAAAACAAAATAATAGCAAAAAAAACATGTGACACTATTTGGAGGAGTAAGGATATACATTTCTTTGTGAAATGAAAGCGTTTGACATAGATATTTTTTTAAATTTTCAATTTCATAGAAAAATTAATATACATATTTCCATTCGGCGTAGAAAACAAAAAGTGTTGTTCACTTTCTGGGTGTGACGCATACATTGAGTTTTCGAGTCATGGCTACCTCAAAAGTATTCTTTGGCACTTGGTATGTTATTTTGAAGTTCTTGACGATGGCTGCCAAATACAAGAACGTTTGCATCAGAACAAAGCCTTCACCCAAACACACTCTCTTACCTAGAATGGGAGATTAAAGTATGAAAACAGTACAAAAATAGATCGTACATTTTGGACAACAGAGAATGGAAAGATGGCAAATATCTACACGATTTGAGGGGACTCTAGACTTAATAGTAAATTTTTTTTCATTAAAAGCTATACTCGTTTTGGTGTCACATTGGTACACCTTCATTAGTAGGATAAATGGTAAAACAAAGATGATTTAATCTAACAGAGGATACGTCACGTTCAAGATATAAATATAGAATTAACATTAAATGTTACCTTTAAGTGTTAGAAAGTGCTACCTAAGTGTTAGAAAACTAATCATTTCCAAAAATGGTTTATCAGCAAGATCATTAACAATAAAGTTTTTCCTTCTGCATGATGTGGAAATGCACCCTCAAATGCAGCTCAACGCATGAAATACACTTATAACTAATATCAGATAAGGAATCTTCTGTTCAGCAATGTTTTGCGATAGATGAACGATGGAGTTCTTGTTTTTTTGGCAGAGCTTTGATTCTCTTTGAGATGATGTTTTTGAGTTTAGTTTGCCCAATGTACAAAAATCCACATTTACATAAAATTTCATAAATTACTCAGTTGTTGAAGTCATTAATAGGTTGTTTGAGGTTCTAGAGGGAAATTTTATGATTCGGTCAAAAGTTAACTTGGAATGAGTGCTTTTAAAGAATTTTTGCTTTTTGGATGCTAATTTTCACATTTAATGAATATTTATTTTTGAATTCGAAGACTTTTTTGAATTTAATGGTTAAGGTTTGTGAAAATATGTATTCGAAGATTCTTATTTAGGAAAATAATTATTATTACTTAAGTTCGGGTGGTGTTGGCTAGTTCTGTGTATCTTTTCGGCTGCAAGTGATTCTCTGGCTCTAAAGGCTTACTTTCAAAATTACTATAATAATTTGACTTTTTAATTTCAAGTTTGCAATGACATTTGCTTTTAAGCGAAGTAAAATAATGGTCCGATGGTCGAAGCGAGTATGGAAATTTTTTAAATTTTGATATGTGATACTCAGCTAAAAATTAAACAGACTATTAAAACAATAAAATGCTATGAAAACTCAAAAGATAAAGAGTGGGCCAGTGATCGAAGCGAAATTAGTTTAAAATAGACCAAACGGGACAAAAGCCGAATATGTAACGGTGCAATCAGTGGTGGTATGTGAAGAAAATTTTATCTATAAAAAAGATGGTATTAGACTATGAAAAGCTGAGAATAGAAAACAGGCTAAATTAGTTGATCCCCTACTAGTGACCGAGGGATAATAAAACTCAGAAAATTTATGTTAAGTTGTGTTAAGCACAGTTAGAAAAGAGAACGTAATATAGAAACATTGGTAAATACAAAACATGTTTAAGACATGATTAAAATTGGTAAAATTAATGATTGCTATTGACACTTGGTCAGGGATAGTAAATAAAAATTATTTGGGTATGGGGAATCGCTATGACGAAAAAGTTGTAAACTTAAGAAAAGGATAAATTGTTAAAAGCATTTTTAGTAACAACAGCAGATGATATGGCTAGGGACTGTCCCGTTGATGATATTGAAGCAAAATAATTGTCAACCAGTAATCCTGCAAATCTAGTTAAGTGATGACCCTAAGCTATGTATAAATATGTAACAGAACATTGTACAAGTATATGTGGATACTTAAGAAATAATTGTTGTAAGATAGTAAAACGCAGAGGCATGGTAAAAAACAATTTAATGGCAAGCAAAAATTAAACACAAAATAAAAATATAAAGCCCTAACATATGTAAGAAAATGTAAAAAAGCATTGCAAAAACCTAAGTGGAATTAAAATCAAAATCTAATGAGAATGTAAACACTGACTTTGATATTAATATATGACAGCACTAAAATGAAATTGTCACCGAACAAAATAAAAGAATTAAAAAAATTTTATTATTAAAGAAATGGTGGATCTGGCTTGATGATAAGCACTTAACTGCGTTTTTCATCATGAAGATTGTTTACATATTGCTATAAGGAATAGAACACCATTAATAATGGAAAAGTGATGCGACTTTAAAAATTTATATAAAATCAGAGGGAGGGGATAAAATAAAAAGAAAGGTGCCCTTTAATCAGAAACAGTTGGGAGAAAGAAATATAAAAATTTTAGATAAAAATATAAATAGCAAGATATTATTTAAAGTGCACAAAGTCAGCGTTAACAAATAGCAAAATTTAACGTAGCGATAACCTATACCCAATCGCGACATATTTTGAAAAGATACCGATAATAAAAATACCAGACAGCCGGAAATTAAAAACTTAATAAATTCAGATAGATAATGGCATATGCGTTCGCAATAAAATGTTTCAGACCAAGAATGAGATCGAAAAAATATTAAAATAAGTAGTCAAAGTTAGCGAAAGATTCCACTTGTAGTGGATGACACGTTAATATGGCGGTCTGATACTCTAAGCCTAAATCAATGGAACATCGGATTTCAAACACTCAGAAATGGAAAAATTGGCCACCCGGAGGCCGGAAAAGACTCACCATGAATCCCTTGTGGTATAGCATGTTGAATTTAATTAACTTCGGGGTGAAAAAATGGATATTTATTTCTTTTGGAAGATAATTTTGAGGACTCCATAGGAGTTGTTGTTTCGTTGGTGGGGATCTAGATCAGCTTTTCCCTATGGTACACTGCCATACAAATCCTTATGGTTACCATTGGCCTAAGGTATACTGCCATACAAATCTTTTTGGTTACCTTTGGCGTATGGTATACTGCCATACAAATTTCTATGGTTGCCACAGGAGAATGGTGACGTGCCATATAAATGCCTTACAGGTCTCTATGGTTACCATTGGCCTATGGTATCTTGCCATACAAATTTCTATGGTAGTCATAGATTACCATAGGCTTCTCTATGGCAAATTTTCCTGTAATAAATGGGAATTTATTGGCGTTTTTTTTTTGTATCAATACTTTTTAAAGAAGGGTTATTTTTCAATAGATGGCACCACTATGATAAAATTTAAATGCATTCAAAATAATATTTTAGGAGAAATTTTTATTGATCCTTTTAAAATTGTATTTTTGGGGTAAATTGTGGATATAAATTGTATTAACATTTAAGGAGGTTTGGATTATCACTTTTATGGCGTATTAGTGGGATTGTAGCTGGTTTTTCTTATGGATTTTTTTTTTGTTCTGACGTCCACTGGATGCGGGTTGACTTTTGAGCGAGTAAACAGGTCAGTATGGATTATTCCGCCTTGCTGAGAAAAGTATAAGAGGCGTGAAGAGTGGCTGTAAAAGTAGTACGACGGGAGTGCGGATCGTGCCCGATGGAATGTTGAGTTGAAACATCACCGCTGACAGGATCTATCATGGCTGTTAGAAGTATGTTCTGAGCCGGTATCATCGAGAATGAGTTTAGATTTAGCTGGAATCTCGGAATGAGTTGATCTAGGCGGAAATGCTGAAAGGTTGATATTTGGAAAGAGTCCCTGGATACCGCAACTAAGTAAGCCACATTGATCGGATGAGCTGTTGCCTGGAAAAAAGTTGATCTGAAGC